AATGAAACGACACGGCTTGCATCTGAGGAATCTATCCACAGCTGCGGTCCACTAGCGGAATGCCCCGCCCTAGGGCTCGCGTAGTGTACGGGAGCCTGGATGCGTACTGATGCATTGCAAAAGAGCAAAGGAAGAGAGGGAAAAAAGGGCAGAGGAAATGTCTGATGGTGTGTTGCTGTCTGTAATGCGACGCCGGGCAGGCAAAGGCCTTTTTGCATTCGTGTCAGATGATTGGCTTTCCGATGTTCGGATGCCACGGCGAATGAGTGAGAACCTTGAGGGCGCGGAAAACGTCCGGACTCGGAGGCCAGTCGGAGAGACTAGAAGTTTTCTGGAAGAAAAAGACCTCTCCACTTTTTTGCCTCGTCTTCTTCCTCTTTCTGCACCGAGACTGAGAGATGGATCATGGACGTGCAAGTGGAAGCTCGGGCCATGCCTTTGGACCCCGATCCGACGCTAGGGCCATTTCGTCCAAGACGGTCAGCTGAACGGCTTAGAACGAACGGAGAAAATGAACGGTGCGAACGGACGGCGCCAAAGCCCAGACGGCACCCAAAGTGTCACTGGCAATTGCAACTGCGCACGTTCGAGATCGCCTGCCAGCTCAACAAGTGCTGTCTGCAACAAACCTTGAGCAGGCTTGGCGTCGGACTTGCTGCCCCCAAGAAATCAAAAAGGACGAACATCGGTTGCCTCGAACAGAAAGTCAGATGGGAGAGAGATCGGTCCAATCCCGAGACCGGAGGATGGATGACCTCAGTGCCATCGCGGCCTCCGGGCATGAAGGATGGGTGAAAATTATTTCAACCTCACGGCACAGACGAGGATGTGACGAAACACCGTCAATCACCTCACCTCTCCCGACTGCTCGGTTCCTGCCGTAACCATCGGCGCAGCGCTCCGGGAGGGTCGAGTCCGACAATTATTGGCCGCCGCAACGTCGAATAGCCTTTCCTGCACCGGGATAGGGCCACCACACCAAGTTTTTCAATCACGTCGCCCTGCGTCACGTTACGAAGGCAGGCAGTTAGTTGGAGAAGACCTCCGAAAAGAAGAGTTGGAGACGACTCCGCGGAGATACAAGTTTCTCTCTTCAACAGTCCAAGGATCTGAGGCAAGCATCCGTTAGTGCGTCGCTAACGTCGCCTTACCGTACAGTTCGCAGGGATGCAATCCAACGCTACAGGCTTGTCCAGCGCGAGAATCTGCTTTGAGCCTGCAGCCTACAACTGAGTCCAGACTCTGGCCGCCGTCTTTAACACGCTGTCCGCTTCCAGTGCCGCCGTTGCTGCTACGGCACTTGCGCTGCTCCCGTCGCGGATCATGGAGTCGCTACCGCGGCACCGCTCAAGGGCCTGGGCTCACCTCTGAATGCGCTTCAGCGTCATCAACCGCACGTCTGCTGGTCGAAACGCCCAGCCTGGCGATCATCAATGGAGTCAATGGGGCGAGCCTTGGACCGACCTCAAATCAACTCGGCGTCTTTTCTACATCCTGCTCAGCCTTTCTCTGGACACTTGTTGTCTCCCGACGTGTTTCCTTCTCCTCGAGGACCAACAATTTTCAGTGGACGTCAACAAACGCACATGGCGTTTCTCTGGCCAGGCTAACGTTTCTCTCCCCGAGGTACATGCGCTACAGGTACCCCAAGCCTCCAACTGCACCTGGACTGGTGGAGGGGCGTTGGTTTTGGGGGTGCCTCGCAACTGGACGACAGCTGGAAGCTCTCCGCCTCCCGGATGCTGGCTGGAGCTCAGGTGATCTGAAAATTTGTTCGATGCGAACGTGGCTCCGCTCCAGTTCAGAGCCCGGCCCCAGTTTCGTCTGATGACCGCCAAAATCGACCAGTCGCCAGCAACACCGGCTGCCGCGAATACGCCTGGGACGTCCTACGTCTGAAAGGTCTGGTGAAATGACCTCTTGCATGCCAAGGATGGTCGTTTTTGATGCTCGACGAGAGAGCCCGTCCGTGATCTGGGTGTCTTTTCGTCCACGCAAGGAAAGGCTTGTGGGGGAGCCTCCGGTTCGGAGGCTGCGAGATTGACCTGATGGTTGATGGAATTTTTCAACGCTTGCATCATTTCTAGGTTCATCACTGAGGCGCACTACCCAGGCTTGAACAGTGGAACGGGCCAAAAGAGACACTCTATCGTCGCCCATCGCGCATCACGGTGCATATAAATACCGCCCCCTTATCATTCAACGCGCGGATCCTTGAGGGATCTCTTTGCCTGTCGGTCCTTGCACGACCTGGGCTTGGCTAGGCTGTCACAATATCGATCTGCTGAGCCGTTCTGTGTCTGTCGCTGGCTAATTGCGAGTTTCGCGAGGAACCACGGATGCAGAAGCTCTCGCTGGATCCTTGAGTCAGCAATTTGAATTGGTTTGGAGCAATTGTTGCGGTTCATGTCCAACTTTGGCAGGCAGGCCTGCCTCTTTGGAACCCTTGCCGCAGCGATCTGACGACGACAGCTTCTGGTTGTCCTGAATGTCAACAAGGTTCCCCGAAATGACGCCTTCCCTGAGCTTTCAATGGTGAACCTTAGAGCCAAGTCTCATCGCGGGCAGGTCCCAGTCGGATGCCGCAAGATGCACAAAATTCGGGTCAGGAACGTGACGGCAGGCAGCCCGGTGGTCGAAGGAAAAGCTGCTATTGCTGCACAACACCGACGGGATACCACTATGCAATAGGGCGCACTGGACAGCCACATCCCATCCCAAGGTACCCTCCAATCTTAGTTTGGTATTGGACCAGTCCCCAAGGTCTCGAGAGGAGCCGTCGATGGCAGCCATGGCCTTGGAAGAAGAGAAGCATCTGGACCAATAATTGCCCACTTTGGTGAACGAGGCAAATGCCTTGGTTTCTGGCCAGCTTCCCACCCTCTCCACGGCCAGAAGCCTCATGTTAATGCTTCGTGCGTGTGCCACAAAAATGAGGTAGGCAGGAAACGGTTTGCGCCAGGGGTGGTCTGGGGGCCGCGTTAACACCAGGACTGCGAAAGCTACCTGGAGCCAAGTACCCGCCCCCAAAGCCATATAACCAGTCCCACCCCGATATTCCTGCCTTGGCCAGAAGGGGTTTTGAAAAGCTTTTCGGACTCTTCAACTACTGAATCTCCTCTGTTTTCGACGCTGTGTTTGACGTCAATCCCGTGAGAAGTCGACGACGAAAGACGAGAGACGCCGTTGAGACAGTGCAGGCCAGCGAAAAGCTACGACTGGAACGACAAGTAGGCCGAGACAACGCTACGACGGACATCGCGCGGCGAACCATCATCACGCCGCAGGAAAACGAACGAACCCCAACGACCAAAACCAAACCCTCCACCGTCAGAAGCGGGGTTCCTGGGCTGGCGCAGCAGCCGCGCGACCTGATCAGTGAAGCTGCATCTCTGTCGAGCGAGACGAGCTGAGTTGTTCGTCTGCTGGCCTCTTCTGTCTGCTGCACGATACGCAACCGACGACATCCGCCAGCACCAGCACCAGCACCAGGCTCACGTTCGCCTCATCCCCTTCTTGGGGTTACCTTTTTGGAGCAACCGTCGCGCAGCCGTCCATCCATCCATCCATCCATCACCGTCGTCGTGAGCGGCCTGGTCGTTGCCCGGGTTCCACGACTTGTTGCTGGTTGGCTCTGCCGAAGGATAGACACCACGCGGTCCATCGTCTCTGCTGCTGACCCCAAATCCTCTTTTCTCCTTCAGCCAACCTCTCAGGTTGTTGGGGGTGGCCACCATCTCCGCGCAGTGGTTCTTGACGCTCCTGGGCCTGCCCGCACGTCCTCCAGAAAACGTTGCCCTCGTTGCAGCTGCATCAAAACGTGGGGAGGCACACGGGACGGACAACCAACTGATCAGTCCAGCCAGCCAAGCCAAGCCAAGCCAGCCTGTCTGCCAGCTTGAATTTCCTTACCCCCGTCCGAAGACGAGCCAAAGGGAAGAGAGAAAGGGAAGAAAGAGGAGAGACAAGCAGGTTCCATCTTGTTAACGTGTGTGGGCTCTCCGAAGCAGAGCATACCGTCCTTTTTAACAGGAACATCGACCTGGGCGAGAGCTTGGCCTACAGACAGACAGCTACAGGGTCTGATCATCCCCACACATACCCCCCCTCCTCCCGTCGTGTCTTCTCGCACTTGTTGCAAGTGTGCGAAGAGAGAAAGAGTGGGAGCGTGTTTGTGTGTGTGAGTGTCCGCTACCCCATTCCATTGCACACCCCCCTCCCTCCTCCTTGAATCCCCTCTTCCAATCCTCCACCGTCCCTCCACCCACACACTCGACGGTCCATCCCAAGCCCATCCCTCAACTTGCTCACGCCCCTCCCCTCTGCGCACCCCCTCTCTCCCACGCCGGCGGCCCTGTTCGGTGGTGCTGGGTCTGGGCGACGAATGGCTGGAGAGCGCCCCCCCTCGAGCTCGCAGTTTATTATCATTACATAAAAGACCGCCGCTCTCTTCCATTTCCTTACACACTGCAACCTCTCATCGCTGCATCCCTTATCTCTGGGCTGGCAAAAAATAACTGTCAAAGATTCAACTGAAGCTCAATTGCGCCCGCTTGGATGCCTCTCCCCCCAGTCACAGTCTCAGCAGCGCAGCGCTCTGTACCTTATCTTGCGCCTGCGTAGATTTTTCCCACCCTCTCAGGTTCCGTCTACCACGCTGGCGGTTTCGCCCCAATTCCCGTGCGGGCGCTCGCTGGCGCCACTGCCATCTCTTCCCCCGGATATCCCTTTTTCGGGCAATTGTTTACTGCCCCGTCCCTGCTTGTCATCTCTCTTGCGCCCGCAAGCACGCGCAAACACCCATACACGAACACCTTCCAGAACATCATAGGGCTGGAGTGTGGAACGCCCGACGTCACAACGGCCGCGTTCAACGCCTAGAGAGATACCTCTCTACCCTTCTTTCGGTCTACCGTGCTTGCTGCAGCTGTCCTCGCTGCCGCTGCCGACCGGCAAGCTGCCTCAACTACCCCCGGACGAGATAAGGAATGGCAGATAAGATGTCCATCGACAACAAAGATCCCGTCAAGGAGGACACTCCCGAGACCACGGGCTCTAGTCCCGAGGCCGAACAGCAACCTGCGACTAACGGCACTGGCAACAACGCCAATGCCGCCCCCGAGAACCAGCAGCCCAAGCGGAAGGGTGGTCGCAAACCCGTGAGTCAATCTTTTCTCGTCATCTGTTTTCACTCCCTATCTACCTACTGCGGGCTCAACACCATATTTCCCCAGACTTTTGTCTGTGTCACACAATCTTAAGGTTTCACTTGGGACGAAACCTTGTTTGGTCTTATCTCCTACCCCGACCGAATGCTAATCTGTACCCCAAGATCTACGCCACGTCCGAGGAGCGTAAGCAGCGTAACCGCCAGGCTCAGGCTGCTTTCCGTGAGCGTCGAACCGAGTACATCAAGCAACTCGAAGAGGCCATCCGCGTCCATGAGTCCAACCTGCACAACCTGCAGGCTGCTCATCGCACGGCTGCCGATGAGTGTCTGATGCTGCGTTACAAGAACTCTCTGCTTGAACGTATCCTTCTCGAGAAGGGTAAGATGGCAATGTCTTATCTCAAGTGACCCTTACTTATCAGTCATAGGCATCGATGTTCAAGCTGAGCTTCGAGCCAAAACGGGCAGCCCCAGCTTGGGACCGACCCATGCTCCGCAGAACATGGTTCAGCCTCCGCCTATTCAGCGGGCCATCTTGAACCGTCACCACCAGTCTCGACGATCCAACTCGAGCATCGCTCCGAAGCTTGAGCCCGGTATCAGCCCGCTCCCTCCGCCAATACAGGGAGGCCATTCGGCGGCGTCCCCCAAGACCCGCCCGACGCCTTCGTCGCACTCCAACTCTCCGACGAACACGGCCCCGTATGGCAGCCAGCCGGCGCTCTCACCGGCGGCCTCTGAGAACGGCCCGATGCGTACCATGGCTCCCTCTATGAAGTCACAGCTTAGCCCAATGGCCCCGATGAACCCGGCTGCCCGGGCTCACATGATGTCCGGCGGCCCCCCGAGAGTCGGCAACAACGGTCCATATTACCCGACCCCGGCGTTCCAGAACCACATTGAGCAGCTCGGTAAGCAAAGCCATCTCCGTGTTTTTTTCGGTTTTCTAACATGAGTATAGAGCAAGAATATGATGCTCCAGCAGACATGATTGAGGACTCTGAGATCGACACCCCGAGCGGCCCCGGCCCGTACCCGAACAACTTCTCCGGTGACGCGCCACAAAACATGATGGCTTCCCCCAACTCCGTTGGACCGGGCCAGCACATGACGAGCCAGGCCGAGTCTGCTCAGCCAGCCCAGACTACCGGCGGTGCCTATCCCTCCATGACCCAGCTCCTGGACACTGGCATCGACTGGGATCCCTTTGGGCTGAGTGCCAGCATGGCCTTCCCTTCACAATTCTCTTTCGACACCAGCAACATGAGGTAACCCTACGCCCCCGACGGATCGAACCTGCAGCGCCAGCGATACAGCTTGGTGTAGCCATCCGATGATTTGGAGGGGAAGGAAATGGTTTTGACCACGAAAAGAAAGTCTCATCACGGCCTCTGGCCGTTTGTTTTATTGTTTTTGCAAAAGAAAAGAAAAAGTAATCATTTTATTTGGGAGGTTGTGGCGAGCGAAACACTCGATACCCGGGCGACACGACGACCAAAAACCAGCATTCGGACGGCGAGATTGTTTTTAAACGGGCGAAGCATTGTAGCAGCGTCCTTAATCACAACAAAGCGACGGGGACATCGAAACGTTTCTAAAAGATGGCACCAATACCCGCGCCGCGGTCATCTACGGGAAATGCGATCACGACATAAAAGTACAATCAATTCCTTCACATCTTTTTTTTTCGAATATAGGACACAGTCTCGGCGGCGGAAATACCCCAAAACGGTGGTTTGGGTTGGCGGCCTGTAGCACTCGTCTCTGAAACCTTTTCTTGTACATTGGATAGGAGGGCTATGAGGAGAGAAAGCCTGTTCATCATGATTTTAATGGCGTTTATGTTGTCTTTCAAACCTTTCAAACCCATCACGTACGATGATGCACAGGGAAAAACAGGAGGGATCAAAAAAAGTTTTTGTTTATTTTTCTGCATGAAAAAGTTTCCATCTTTCTTCTTGAGAGATATCGTCTTCACGGTGCTGTCGTGGTTGTCTATGAGAGCGGTCTTTGCTTGGTGTTGATCTCCTACTGCGTAAGATGGCTCGTCGTCAGGAGAGGTCCGCTGTGAGGTCCAGATCGGCCGGCGGCGGACAAAGTGGGACTCGGATGTTCCAGGACCGGAAGTGGCCCTCGAGCGAAACCAGCCTCCTTCATCACGTCTCGGCTGACGGCATCCATAGTCGCGGCATCGGAGCTGAGTCCGTGTGAAATATCTTGGCCAACATTGTTCCTTCCTTCTTACTTGGTCTCAGGCGGCAGCCTCTTTAACTGCTTTCTAAGCATGGCATCCGCATATATGAGGCATCACGAGCGAGCGTTTGAGATTGCGTGGCATCGTTTCTGCGAGGCGATTGGTCACTTTCTTTTGCAGAAAGGTAGCATGCAAGTTTGGTGCAATGTTGGGTCATTTTGTGCTCCATCGTGGGAACTTGCGTACGCCCGCTTTCACCCCCCATGTAGTTAGGTAATAGTTACGGGAGCGCAACGGGAGCTTGACTCGGGGTTTGCGAGAAAGTAACAACAGAAGTGTTGGTACCTTTTGCTTCTTCCAAGAGGATTCTTCTTGTGCCTTTGTGCCTGAAAGACACGTGGAAGAGACGGCTGTGTGTGAGTGGGCTTTCTGCTTTTCGAAGCTTGTGTTGGAAATCCTGCATGTCTACAAGAGACGGAACGGTTCGTATTAGCTTGGCGTGGCATGGCTGTTGTTTCTCAAGTTTGTCTCGTCCACAATCCTTGGTTCTTCTTGGTCATGAAATGTATGAGATGCATAGCTTTGCGAGAGCGTTACCGATGGCAGCGCACATATGGCCTACGTGTTGTCTTTTTAACTTTTCTTAGGCCAATGGAAGCGACGCAGTTCAGAAACGTGTTAGTAACAAGATTGTGCGTGATTCGGGACCAGGGACCGTACGTCTTGAGATTGAGGTCCAGGCGTGACGTGACTTGACGGCAGTTGAGGGAAGGTCCCGGCAGCGGGCGTCCGTTTCTCGTATGTGTGCGCGTATGTGCATGTACATGTGCCTGAATCTTGTCTTTTTTGGAAAATCTGGGGAGGTTTGTGATTACCCCATCTTCATGTTTGATTGACCCCGTCTCCTTCCTTCCCCCCCTCCTCAGACGCACGCGCCGGAATACGCAACCGGCTGGGGGAGACGGGGGGAGGAGGCACGTATCGTGAGTTTGTGTTACGGGGAAGTGGAGCCGAATCACCTAATGATAATGTCGGGGGGTGTTGAACCTGACGAAGGGGGTGTGTGTGAGTGAGCACGGGAGGGTTTCTCCACTGAGGGCATACGGGAATTACGTAAGTAGGACTTTTTGGGGAGGACGGTGACGGGGTTTCTTTTGCTTGGTGTCAAAGTCCTATTGTCCTTCCTGGCTGGAGTGTTTGGAGAGGCCAGGGAGACACCGGGGGAAGCGAGACTCCGTTGGGGCCGAAGGGAGACCCGCCGGGGGAACGGTTGATGGATCGGGATGGCCGGGAGGTGGGGATTGGAGGCTTCGGGGGGCCGTTTGGAGTTGGAGAGCTGTGATGATGGAGTGTTTGCCCGAAGGCGCCCGCATCAAGGGGGTGTTCCGGGTGAGCGGCGAGGCGTGCGTGATGTTCCTTGGCTATGTGACGCAATCTAGTTTTGAACCGTTCTGTTGGCTAGAATCTGGGCTTGCATATCTGTGTGATGAGGAATCTTGACGCTTTCTCTGGGCACCAGGCAGAGGACATTTGTCATCTGAAAGGTCTAGACCCTTGGATGACTGTGCTGATGATCCGAGCCAAGTGTCTTTTGCGAAATTTGGTTTCATGGCCAAGATGAAATTGATGTTGCTTTAGATTGTGAGAATATTCGGAATCTGCATTGTGACGTGGTGCATTTCTGGACGATGATTCAGGGGCCTGGGGTGTGTTTAGCTGAAATATTCGAGTTATTGATCGTGAGTTGCGGTTATCCTTGGCTCCGTTTAGGCAGCATAGAGATGGATAAGGCCATGCAGATGGTGTTCGGCACAGGCTAAACATCGATACGAGTTGGCGAGGCCTTGACGTTTTTGCTGTCGAAGGCAGTTGTGTTATTTGGTTCCGAGACATTATGTATGCTCTCCAAACCGAGATGCTGGCGCCGCCAACGAACTTGTATGTACTTCTTGCAAAATAAGCATCCCAGCCTAATCCCATGGTCGCAAATTACTATCACAGTGACTTGTGCAGAACTATCCATGGCCTGTCAGACAGCACAGTTGCTGGCCATAGATAGCTTACCAGCCATTCCGAGCAAATATCGTGGTATTGAGGAGTCAATGTGAAAAGAAGATTCCGATTTGGCAAATTTCTCGTCGAAATCATAAAGCAAGTTGACCGCACATTTCCAATACCATACTGATATGTCATATAATCTCTATCTTCCACTGCCCCTCTTACCGCATCTGTGAGCTCTTTCTCAAACTGAAGTTTCGTTATTATGTAGTACATTCCTCAAGTGTAGCTTCAGTGGGTTGAAGTCCTGCCTTCGTCTATGAGTAGCGGGTTGGGGGAAGGAGCGACTCAACGCACCTGCCCAAAACCAAACTAAGCAAGTGCTTCTTTCCTTCTTAGACAAACTCGGTGCGGTTCTTGCCAACCAAGCCTGATGAAGGGCGTGGCCCAGAGGTATAACGTCCTAGATCGTTAGTTTGAACTTGGTATGAAATTCAATCGCTGGTTTCGTAGGGTCTGCGGTTCGAATCCGCACCCGAGCTTTTGCTCAGACTAATTTCTTTGTCTTTCGGTCATTCTTTTACAGGATCGTAGTGGATCGAGTCTTTGGCGTCGCTAACTCAGGATCGCATCTTCGTCCTTCACCTCCGCCTTCCAGTTTGCACTTCTTTTAGCCCAACTGGTGACAAATTAATCACCTGCGTACAAGCACATAATCTCATGGCCTTTAACTTACAAGTATAGCATTCCACGCATGCAGCGGAGAATATCGAGATTAATATAAAAGGGGGTTGGAAGTGCATGTAGAAGCTGCATCTGCATTATTTCAAACTGCCATAAGATCATTGTCTAAATGTACTTGCACCCATACCGCGAAGTGACCGCGACATAGCGACCATCCCACACACTTATTTATCTTGGATCGAAAAGTCTAAAGGTGAAATTCTCTTTACAGTCGCACTTCGGGCATTCTTCTTGGCAAGCTGAATACGCCAAACCCGTCCGCAGTTATCTCATTAATCGCTGCGGAGCATACTGGTTGGATTTGATCAGATGGAGTAGGAGCGAGTCTTTCACAAAGTTACAGCAAAATCAGCTATTAGGCTGGAAAATGAACATTCAAAATGGCTCCTATAAGCATCTTGGGAGTTGCTTGTCCTCCACGGGAGCCAACTCTGACCATCGGCATTCGCTACAGCCGATTGCAAGCCTTGTTGTTGTTGCCTATCATCGCAACAAATCACTCGCGCGATTGAGGATAGCTTCCAAAATCGATGGAGATTGATTGCGGATATCTTAGTTACAACAGAAGGCGAATTTCTCCGACATGGTATCGTCGGAATCTTGCCTATCAACTGTAACTTCTCTCAAGACTTCGTTCGATCGCTTTGAAAGGCATATTAAATTCATCACATTGCGTACCAGATTAAAGCCTGACTGACACAAGCTTATTCTTGGCAGCTACCTATCATGTCGTTGCTAACATCAGACTGAGCACATGTCACTGACTAATCCCGCTACTCTCCGGATGGAAGACGTCAGTCTAAAACGCCGGCCGCTTCCCCCGGTGGCGGTGCGGGGTGGCGACCCCTGCAGGGACTCTATGAACCCCTCTGCGCCCGCGTAACCGTCAACTGACCCGGCGCGCCATCAACTTCATGCTTCGACCAGATAACTCGCGATAAAATATTCTTCTCCCTTTCTGTCCTTTCCGTCCTGGCGGCTACAAGAACAACGAAACATGAAGATCGAGCGAACACTGGCGACGGAGAAGGAGAGGCAGCCGATGGACAACTCGGCCTGCTGCACCTGCGCCAAGCTGCTGACCTCCGTGCCCCGGTACCACCCCGCGACCGAGAAGCCGCTCCCCGATGACCGTGTCTTGGAATGCTGCGCGCGAATCATATGCGGCAGCTGCATCCACGTAACGCCTCCCTCCCGTTGTCATTACAGACCAACAGATGCTGACCCAAGTCCAGGACAACCCCCGCTTCGCGTCCTACTGCCCCTACTGCCAGGCCTCGTCCAACCCCGCCACCTCCGTCCTCCCGCCGAATCTCAAAGACCCGCCCGCCTACAC